TTTTTTTTTTTTTTTTTTGCATTTTTAGCTAATATTTATAAATCAAATATTAAAGAAATTTTATTATTCTGATAGGTAGTACTTGATTAATAAATAATGTCAATATTTTATGTAGAAAAAAATGAACAAAAACATACAAGTGATAGTAATGATGCATTAAATGAGATAATAATGTTTAACAGTTTTATCATTTATTACTACAAAAATTTTATAATCTGTCATTATTACTTTTGATAAAAGTATAAACTATATCTTGCACCTAGAAGAAAAGATAGTTCACAGTAGTGAGCTTGTTCAAAATAGACATTACCTGAAAACACGATTCTACTTCTACTTTTTCTGACTCGAAACGAGCACATCCAGTCGGTCGTAATTCTTCAGCTAGTTCAGCATCATCTAGAAAAGATGCACAACCCATCGTTTTGTATTCTGTCATATGGCCTAATTTACTTTTGATAGTTGCTCTGAAGCAGAATTCACCTGTACAAGTGGTATTTCTCGATGATACCTGAAGTATAAATCGGTAATAGTATTCTCATCTCAAAACAAAAAATGATTATTAACATTAATCGCTTAAGCATAATAATTTATGCTCACAAAACGTTTTATTTTTGACAAATAAATTGATTTTTAATGATTGTTTTAGCATTACGAACTAAATCTTCTACTTCTGAGATCTTTAAGAATAAATCAAATAGTTATAAAAAATATAATTCATAAATAATAATTATCAATAGTAATTGCACTTTGAAAAAATAGTGATATGGTTATTTTTCCATCAAACATTTAGCTAATGATTGTGAAAATAACTGATTATTTCTTGAAAGCCAACTTGAGTCGTTTCCAGTGATTTTATCCTACCAAAAGGTATTAATAATATCTTGATTTCACACATTATTTCTGTTACAATTCAAAATTATTACTGATAATATTAAAGTAATTTTTTAATAAATTTGTAAAAAGAATTCATATTTGATATATGCGATTCTTTCATTGAATAAATATTAATGCTTTGAGCAAATTGTCGGACTGAAAGAATAAAATGTGCTATTTACAGCTAACATATGTGTTATGTAAGAATTAATTTGATGTTATGAAGGCAAAAATACCTTCCGTCTCATTTTATTTTACATTTCATACTTCATTTATATTCTATATTTAACACTTTATCTAATAAACAGATTGTAACTGTTTGTTGGGAAGTTAAAAATTTGTCGAGGGCCTTGCATAAATTTGTGTCAACACTGAGAAGCATTCACAGATTTTTCATATGCTTTGCTTGAAATTTACAATTTTATAGTTTAAATATACTTCAAATTAAAGTAATTAGATAATTTCATTATTTTGTCCAATTTTATTTGTATGACTAAACTTGAAATTGATGATCTCAGTCAAATTTTTATAAGTTTGGTAAGTAAGAACACGACCTTTGTGCCCATTGCTTCCAAAGTAACAAATGTTTGACATTTCATTCTTTCAGGTTGTGTAATTTCTGGTTTTCCACTGTTGCAGTAATCAGCAGTACAAACACAAGATTCTGTAGCAAGAAGTTCGTGTGGATCTTTGGAAACTGTATGATGCATAGATCCGGTGATTGGTGGGATCATACAAGAGCCCGCTGATCGCCTCTCAATTAACGGTACCGAAGCATTTACACATCCCTATCAAAACATTATTACCAATACTTTCTTCTCACATAATTCTTTATTTACTCGTACAATAATTCAGCTTATGAAGTAATCGTTTTCGTAAGGAAATTGCATAATACTCAAAACCAATCAGTAGTAGTGACAAAAGTCCATCGGTATATAAATTTATATATATTCAGTAAATTTTTTGAATACATTTTTTTAATTTAATGAATTTTTTATATTATTTATACATAAAATAAAGATTATTTTGTAATCATAAGAGAAGAAGAAAACAAATTTAGTACATTTCAATATATACAATTGTATTTATGTAATCATTGTAATATTGTGATTACATGTGTTATACATGTTATGAATTAAATCATTATTTTGTAATAAGGTTGTATTTGTGGATCTCTTCTTGCATCATTCTGCAATAAATAAAACTTTGATCTGATCTTAAAAAATCAATCATATAATAAAAATTGACCTGTTCTGTTTTTTTGGTTCGATGATTAACAACATAGGAACACATTTCACCTGTACATGTTTTGCTCTCACAATGTGCTCCATTACAAACGCAAGTGACTAGTGGTACAGGTACCGTCTCTAATCGCCTGATCATTTTATCACTGTTACAATAATCTCGATCACAAAAGCAAGTAAACGGTTCCTGTAAATTACAGCTAATTAATTACAAAAAGTTAGATTCCCGACAAAGGTAAGACAAAAATGAGCAATATTATTCTCTCTTGTGGCAATTATTGCTTTCATTATTGCGTTTACTTTTTGTTAAGAAAAACAGAAGGCTTAGTTTTGGTAGTTGAAATGCTTATTAATGTTTTTTGAATACTAAAAGTAGAAGAAGGAGTCTTCCTGTAAAAACATATGAATATCAGAGCACTCAATAATTATAAATTAGTAGTTATGAATGTAAAACCAAAAATTATTCAGTAATGTTTACTCATTGGTCTTTTTATTTTGTGAATATTATTTTTTATTTCTTTCAATATTTACGTCATGTATGCTTAGCAGAGTTTATGAGGGAAACAAGCAAGTTATTAACTTATTAGCTAACTTTTTGTCCATATTTTCTGAGTTCTTGACTAGAATTCTAACTGATTTGTAGCAATAAAATTATTTTTTTGAGCAAACTTCTTTCTACTAAACTTGACGAGTGCTATTTTAAGCACGCAAAAAGTATAGGAAATGCTAGCAAATAGAATAGCTGAAATCAAATATAATACTTTTTGGTAGCCATAGAAATGAGTAAGTAATTGGAAGCAAATATTTCAATTGCTTTATTATTTTTTTATTATCGGAATAAATTTTTTGACTTTTTTCGATTTTTGCTGCTTAAATAGTAAATATTCATTTATTCTCTTAGACAGTTCAAAAAGAATTCTATTTGTTTTTATA